CACCCTAGAGGAAGAGAGCTTCGTGCTGTCTTCGTAGGTGACCCTGCCCGGGCCCGGGCCCACCGGCGCTCCGTCTCGGCCTCTGCCCTTAGAAACGGGTCCCCTGGCGGGTGGGGGACTGTCAAGGCTCCGCCCCAATCCCCGGGGTCGGTTCGGTCGCTGGTGCGACCCTTGGTTCGGGCCCGGAGGACTGGAGGGCAGGGCGGGTGTCTCGCGTTGACCAACGCCTCCATCACAGTCCCCCACCCCCGCCTCCGCTCTTCCGTCGTCGGCCAAACCTGGCGGTTGGAGCTGCCGAGGCCCGACCACGGAAGAGGACCCGCTAGCACCAGGGCTCCTGGTCTCAGTGCTCCCTCCCGGCCGGCATCGCCCGCGCCGGGTCCGGGCACCAGCAGAGGGGTAGGCTGCCGGCCAAAATGTGGAGAGCGGGCCCCACGGGAGACGTGCGGAGCAGCCGTGAAGATGGCCTATGCGACCCTTTATTTGTCCCACTTTGTAATTCTGTGTGTCACATCGGGTTTTCTGAAAAGTGGAGGCATTGCTGTTCATCTTGGATGTCGCAGATGCGCCCAGTGGGTTTTATTCTCTTTGGAATTGTTAGACTAGACAGTAATTAATTGTTGAAACTGAGGGATAGGACGCCTATTTTGCTATCACTTTTGTGTGTGTGTGTGTGCATGAAAATGTACATAATTTAAAAAACAACAACACGATTTGAAACAGCACCTAATCCAGGCATGTTTTCCAGCTCCTCCGCCTCTGATGCAGAATTCGACGCTGTGGTTGGCTACTTGGAGGACATTATCATGGGTAAGCCTCCTTGCCCCTGTGGCCTCTGCTCTTATGTCTCAGACCCATGCTTTTAAGGACACTGAAACCAATTCGGAGAGTTAACTTTTAAGAGAGAAGACATCGGAGCTGCGTATAGTTTTTAATGTAGCATAGTGTGACGTTAAGTCCTACTGTGATTTGTCTTAGAGGCAAACAGCCCATACTGCTTACTTAACACAGCAAATCCCCACCGATTCCGGCCTCAGGAAGGAACTTTTCAGGAAAGCCGACACCTAGAAGTTACGGGGCTCTTGGCAAAACTTCAGGAAATACTGAGCTACCTTACATCAGAGACGAAGAGCAATTCAGTTTTTTAGTTTTTCCTTTTAACGTTTTCATACAAAGTAATGCCATGACCGTAGCGCACATGCATGAATCAAACAAGGTATTTCCTGTTTGTGGGTTCATTTTGGCACCCATAATTCCTCCTAAGGAATTGGCACCAAAGGATTAAGGCACATATGTGGGAGAGAGAAACTTAAAATTTGAGACAGTGTTGTCTATTGACTTCAAGTCTTCTGAGATTGAGGAAAAGAAGGCTGTGATTTGGTGTTACTCGCTGTGTCTCTTACTCTAGTTTAGTCTGAAAATCACTGACCGAGTTTTTGTATGCCCAGGTAGGTATGGTAAAGGGTCATGCCCTTACCTGTAAATACAGATGTTTCACCACTAAGCTCTCATTCCATGTGGATCTGAGGGTTTTGGGGGGGATACTGAGGAATACTTTGAGTTCTTTTGCCTTTTATGGATTCCCATTGCCCTGTGGGAAAATGAACTCCTGTAAGCCCAGACTATCACAAACTGGCTACGGCTGTTGTGTATATTTAAGTACAATTTTTAAAATACTAATAAAGCCAGTTTGGCCCTAACCGGTTTGGCTCAGTGGATAGAGTGTCCCAGGTTCGATTCCGGTCAAAGGCACATGCCTGGGTTGGGGGCTCGGTCCAACATGCAGGAGGCAGCCAATCAATGATTCCCTCTCATCATTGGTGTTTCTATCTCTCTCTTCCTCTCTGAAATCAATAAAAATATTTTTTTTTAAAAAATCCAGTTTGGCTAAGTGGGTCTCAGAGTGTCAGCCTGCGGACTGAAGGGTCCCGGGTTTAATACTTCCTTGCCTTGAAACACCTTTAGTTTTCTCTCCTGGAGACTGACCGTTGAGAAACCACTTCTGGCATGTAGCTCCTGCCTGTTTGTAAATCAGAATGGTTTTTAGTTTGCATTAAAAATAATAGTTGTTTTTTATTGTGGTTCAGATGACGAGTTCCAGTTGTTACAGAGAAATTTCATGGACAAGTACTACCAGGAATTTGAAGACACAGAAGAGAATAAACTCATCTACACGCCTATTTTTAACGAATATGTAAGTGGATTTCTATTTCTCTTGCCAGAGATTAGGGTCTCATTAAAATGTGAATTTAGAATCAAAAGATGCTGAAATTTGCTTGACTTTTCAAATCTGCCGCCGTACCCTGCCAGGAATTCTGTTAGAATCTGGTTTAGTTCTCATCTCCTGTCACTTTCCCGCACACAGCTTTTGGGGCTGTTTTTCAAATATGTGATGATTTCATTAACTTTTATTTCACAAGCTGTTTGGCTTTATCATAATCCTGATTTCAGTTACAATACGTGGGGTCACCACACCAGGCATTTATATACTTTTGACCTTTTGGCTTTCACACACCCTTTTCCTATTACTAATCCAGGTATGTATGTTTATCAGGTGAACATGAAAACCAAGACCAAGACCGCTAACTAGTGGGTGGTAAAACCAAGACTAGAATCCAGGAACTTCCATACTTGACCCTTGGGTGTCCCCCCTCTGCCAAGGTCAGGGCCTCCTGGAATGATACCATCTGGCTGAGAATGGGTTTGAGCCTCCGGAACCTTCTTTTCTTAACATAGCAGCTCGCCGGTCAGTGCAGGTTCCCTCAGGCCAGGCCTCAGCTTCTAAGGATCCTGGATTGCCTCTATCCAGAACTTCTGTGTCTGTTCTGCACAGATCCCACCTGCCCAGGAAGAAAAAGCCACTTCATTCCTCACTTCCGGCCAGGGGTGGGGGGAGCCCTGCTGCTGCCCCTACTGATCGGAGAGCATGCGTGTTGTTACAGCATAATGACCGAGTGCCTCTCCCTCCGTGGGCCAGGCCGTCCAAGAGGCCAGGAGCTGTGTTTTGGTCTCTGGTGTCCCCAGCACTCACCACAAGGCCTGGCACATAGGATCGGCTCTTAGGACAGGCTTTCTGAAAAGCAGTCCTGAGGTCTGACAAGATCTTTCTCACTTAGATTTCTTTAGTGGAAAAGTACATTGAAGAACAGCTACTGGAGCGGATTCCTGGCTTCAACATGGCGGCCTTCACGACAACCTTACAGTGAGTTGAGCTTGACTCTGTTTTGCCTTTTTCACCTCCCTCCTCCTTCGGTCTGGGAAAAAAAGACCCTCTTTCTTCCAGTGCTTGATCATCAAGGCTGAGAGCGCTTGGTGGTTGGGTCCCGGGTAGACGGGCCTCAGAACCTTTGACCGAAGCCTTGAAGAGACAGTGTTCACCATTCATTCGTGAAACAGCCACCCTTTCCTTTTGCAGGCACCACAAAGATGAGGTGGCCGGTGACATATTCGACATGCTGCTCACGTTTACCGATTTTCTGGCTTTTAAAGAAATGTTTTTGGACTACAGAGCAGTAAGTCACCTGTTTTTTTCTTCTTTTAATTTTGTGTTTTTAGTAAGTCACTCTTGCCTGTTCCGTTGGCCACACTGAACCACTTAGAACGTTCTAAGAACGAACACAAACCACCTCCCAGCTTCTCCTGTGAGCTTGGCCAATGGCACCTAGTGGGTGTCGGTGAGCTGCTGTCCTCCTCCAGCCGGGACCTGGGATCCTTACCGAGGAATCCCATTCTGTGGTTAAGACTGACCGTGGCCAGTGCTGAGCAAAAATGCAAATCACCCTCCCCTCCCTGTGCTCCTGGTGCCCCACACTCCCACCCTGAGCGCCTCCTTCCCCAGGCAGGCTCTGAGCGAGGGAGGACTGTTTTATGTCTTGCCTCTTGAAGTTTTCTTTTCCCTTGCAGGAAAAAGAAGGCCGGGGACTGGACTTAAGCAGTGGTCTCGTGGTGACGTCACTGTGCAAGTCATCCTCCCTGCCCGCTTCCCAGAACAACCTGCGGCACTAGGTCCCCTCCAGCAACGAGATTGTTCAACATCAGCCCAGGGCACGGGAGAGGCGTCAGCTACAGCTAGCGACAGGATAGATCTTGGGGAGACCGGCTCTGTTCCGCAATCCTTCGTTAACATCAAGTATTGATGGAGGAAAAAAAATGGTATGACCCTCCTGAGACCCGTTTCTTCAGAAAACCCTTGTGTTCAGTAACCCTAGTGCTCCCCCCCGCCCCCCGGGCATCTCTCTCGGGGGCTTGAGGCAGCGCCTGTGGACAAGTCTACGTCCAGCATTCCACCTGGGGGCTTGCTTCCCCCCCCACACATGTTGGGGTGTCCCAAATGGTTGGGAGCATTTATCTAGGGTGTTCCTCAAGCTGCTGCCGGACTTGTAACTTCTGGAGCTCCTATCACCACCGAGAGTCTTGGCTGTCAGTCACCGAGAGAGATGTCCTTTACCTAAAAGCTACATGTCCAAGTCAACGCCTCGTCTCACATCCGCAGTCCCGTCCCCGTGTCACTGTCTTCCGGTCCTGATGTCGCCCCCCGTTTCCAGAACTCTCCTTTAAGCATTTTTGAAAGAAACTATTTTTATAGATGAACACTCAGGCTAACCTAGTGGATATAATCTTGGAAGTTCCACGATTACCCACTTCAAGATCAAAGTATTATATGCTTTCTAGTTGTTAGTGCCACGAGCGTGGATGCTCCGTTGGCGCCCGCGAGTGTGTGCTTCTGCGTGTGCTTCCGCTGAAGTAGGCCCAGGTCCCCTTTGCTCAGCATGTCGTGTTCGTGCAGGCTCGCGCCAGCTTTTTCTGTATAAATCGGGTGGTTAGGTTTTCTGTTGGAACAGAGGGTCTGCAATGCCTTCCTGTCAAAACCTTCCCACCAGCGCAGTGTCTGCTGGTTAGCTCAGCTCCCGGTGTGCACCTTAGATGTTTTTTAAAGTAAAAATAAGAATCTGTACTGACTTCATGTGGCTGTTCTGGTTTTAAAGGATGAGCTATATAGAGGCTGTGTGTTTTCTGTACTGATGTGGCGCTCATTAAATGCTTTTGTATTGTTAAGTAAAATTGAGGTGTTTTGCAAGAACCAACTCAGACAAGTTCTTCTGTCTTTATTTTTGTAAAAAAACAAAACAAAAAAAAATGAAAACAACAGTCACCACCAAGCATATGACAACTCACCAGGCAAGGCCTTGATGCCCCGCCTCCATGTCCCAAGTGTCCAATCAGCAGGGTCAGGGAAGCAGCCGTATTGACGGTGGCTTTCCCCAAACGGGCTGTTACAAACTAGGGCTTGGGAAGGGAGGGAAGCCTTGAGACAGGCTTTCATCATTGAGAAGTTGCTTAAAGCCAGTCTGCTCTAAATAACCGTAAGTGGCCCTAGCTGGTTTGGCTCAGTGGATAGCCAGCCTGTGGACCAAGGGTCCTGGGTTCGATTCCGGTCAAGGGCATGTACCATGGTTGCAGGCTCCTCCCCGGCCTGGGCCCTGGTCGTGTGCAGGAGGCAACCAATCAATGTGTTTCTCTCACATCGATGTTTCTCTCTGTCTTTCCCTATCTCTTCCACTCTCTCTAAAAAATCAATGGAAAAATACCTCGGGTGAGGATTAACAAAAAAAATTAAAAGTCTCTCTTTTAAAAAAATAACCATAAGTGTGAAATACAGGGAAGGAAGAGCACGCTGTCAGAAAAGTCTCCAGCGACACGTTGGCTTGGGGGAGGGTCAGGTCGGAATTGTGTTTTAAGGGCCCGGCACGGTTTCATGAGCTTGCTCAGCACTCCTGGATCAGACTGTGATGGCGATAAATACATGCTGCTGGTTAGGCTTATAACCATAGGGTGGGTGGGGGCGGCAGGGCCGGGGTCCTTGTTAGTGTGCTTAGTGCTGGTGAGAAGGCTGGGCCCCGCCTCGGACGCTGAAGTCCTCTAGACGGAGCAGGCAGCAAGCCGTGTCCCCCGTCACCTTCTGCTGAATAAGGGGGACGAGCCGGTCTCGGCTGTTGGCTCGCTCTAGTCCACGCGCAGGCGACCCGGGCCGAGCCGGAGGGAGGATCGGATGCCTTGGGAGTGTTGGGTGAGCCCACGTCTGACAGTCAGACAGGAGCAAGTGTCGTCCCTTCTGGGCTGACCCGCAGGGCCACCCCACGTGTGACCCGGCTGCAGCCTTCAGCCCCACGGTGGGCCGTGGTCAGGGGTTTAGGCATAGCCGCCAGCCATCTGACTGGTGGCCGCATTGCTGCCGACTCCTCGCCAGGCCTGGAAGCTGAAGAAAGCGCTCAGTCCGTAGGCGATCATCACTAAGCACGAGAAGAACTGAAAGAGGAGAGGAGACACCCGGCTGAGTCGTCTGCAGCGCGGCTCGGGGGAGGGGGTGGTGACAGTGACGCTCGCAGGAAGTGGGCAGCCTGGGGCAGGCACAGTGGGACCTAGGGCTCCTCCATGACCCCGGGCCAGTTGCTCTGGCAGCCACACCCTCTCCTCAGCCGCACACTCATCGAACATCTAATTGTTGGGGCTGATGCTGCTGACATTACATTCCAGTGGGGGGAACCCTTAACCACGCAGACAGGTATGTGATAGGCAGCTGGACAACACGCTGACAAGCGTGATGAGGGGCAGGAGCTACTTTAGACACGAGGGATTTCGTTTTTAAAAGGCAACATTCCAAAGCTACCCTAGGAATCTTCTGGAATCCGTTCGTGGGAGAGCCTGTGAATCCCCCCAAGTGGTCTAAACCAAAAGGTCTTTGCATGTGCCCTTTGCAAGGTAAGGATGGGGGCC